GAGAGAGAGAGAGAGAGAGAGAGAGAGAGAGAGAGAGAGAGAGAGAGAGAATGGCAGCGAGAGAAAGAGAGAGGGAGAAAGAGTGTGTGTGTGTGATATAGAAAGAGAAAGATATATATAATATCTTCTATATGTAGCTATTAACTGCGCAACAGGAGGTCTGTGGAGACCTTGGCATGGCCCCGTGGGGAAGGTCCGGCTACGGGACGAGACCCGCTGGGGAGCGAAGAGAGAGAGAGAGAGAGAGAGAGAGAGAGAGAGAGAGAGAGCGTGAGTGGAAGTGAGTGGGCCGTCCGCTTTCCTGTGATGAATCGTAGGGCTACACAGTTAGAACTCAAGTTGTCAACATTATTGTAACGTGTGAAGCACGGGTGTGTTATGTTATAGGATTTATGGTGAACGTATCCGTGCAGACTCGTGTTTATGTCTCGATTGGAATTACAATGGTAAACAACTCTCGCGGTCTAATTGGGTAGCTTATTTAGATCTTACTGATTTAGATCCTTCAGTGCTCATTCCTCCTTGTTGCTGATGCTAGTGTCGTATTCATGTTAGTTTTAAGTTTTAACTATAGTTAATGTGATGGTCTAGCATATAAATTCCCAATAAATCATTACATATTTATGCAATGGCGTATAGTTTCTGCACTAGCATACGGTTTCCGCCCTGTACTTTGCGAGAACGTAGTATCAGTATGTTTCCTCCTACGCACAGCGTTCATCTCTCAGCGTTGCCTCATCGGCTTTGTTCCTTTCGCACCATGGTCGCGGCAGTAGTCTCTTAAAACAACATTTTGCCGAGACTGGTGTCTCTGCGTAGGGACGCTATCTGCGTGAGATCTTCTGCTGCTTCTGCCGAGAGAATTTTCCTAGTGCTTGATCTATCAGCGTTAGGCAAGAATTTAGGGCATCGCTTTATGGCGTAATCCGACGTGAAAGACGCGATGTCAGATTAACGTAAAGAGTTGTGGTTCACCTATTAGTATCCATGGAAACGTCAGCAGATGCTATTGTCCGAGCGGCTATCATGGGTGAAAAGGCATTCGGTCGGCATTGCTGCGCAAAATTTTTCCCACAAAAAGTTGCCGACTTTTCACATTCTTGGCAGCGTTTTCTGCGATAGCACTGCCGTCGACTCACCGTGTGATAGAGAGGATGATGGCACAAACAGACTCCCTGAAAGGGAACAAGTGTGCGTGAAGATTATCCATTTGTGAGCACGTGTTCTGTGCTCTGTGGAGATCCATCTGATATATATCTCTGAATATATTCTAATAATTCCGCCCCTGTCGTAAGAAACCAGTTATTATACCACATGAAATCGCTCGGATCGCTTACAGAATATTATGGCTCGCATAAATTTGAGGACGTTTAGTGTACTCATATACTTGCTTTCTGCTCCCATAATATCAGGTGGAAATAGGGAGTAAATGAGACATAATCAGACCTTTATGTGCTCCTGATAATATGTGGGTTATTTTTTACTCAATGTTACATTTTCATCAATAATCGCGACATTGAACCTAGGAAGAATTGAAACTGTTGTTGTAACGGCGTTAAGATAAATTCAATGATATATTCGAAAATGAATGGCTCGTGACATTCAGCGTGGCAAATTGAGTTTAATTGCGGTGTTTAACTTGTCAGTTCAATCGCGGTATAATAACAAGATCGGAATGCGTAACTAGGAATTCTGCTACTAAGATGGTAATATATATATTAGTTATTCGCTTGCCGGGCGGTTTCGCTTGAGTAAACGATGCCAAGGAAGGTTTTCATGCCATTGGGGCACGACGGTGAAAAAGGCAATCGGTGGACATTAACTGTTACCCTATACAGTAGGCTTCTGTCTGCTTTTGTCGCTTAGTAGTCACTTTGTGCTCTCTTACTTCTTCCATAATCGCGCTGACCTTCCCTCGCCACGCTGCCGACGTGTACGGCCCGCAACACAAACCCACCTTTGTGCTCGCTCGCGTCGGGATTCGGATTTCGGCGTATTCGGGCTGGCGCTGATGTCTATCGCCTAGTCTCCGTTGACGCTGTCCGCCCGTGTCGCCATTGTCGCGCGTCTGCCGATGCTTATCGCTCGACCGCTGATCAGGTGCATGTGCGTATGGACAGACAGACAGACATGCAGACATGCAGCGTAACTGCGTGTCAATAGAAGTTGCGCGCGCGTTGCAACCCCCGCGCATCGTATACACTCGCGCTCATATAGGGTCTAGACGCATCGTCTAGTCGCGTGCGGGGATCTCTCTCTCTCTCTCTCTCTCTCTCTCTCTCTCTCTCTCTCTCTCTCTCTCTCTCTCTCTCTGAGAGACGCCGCTGGATGAATGCCCGGAGATACTAATGTGAGAGTCCAAATGGAAGTTGTGCCTTGAAGGCGGCGTTGAACAGTAGCGGCCGGGAGATTGATTGATTGTTGCTCTCGCCAACTCTTTCGCTACGAGCTGCATCGCGAATGTGTTCGCGGCACGGCGAGCGAACATTTCGCGCCCGATACGTATAATACGCAAGACAGTTCCCGGGCTTGTTTTTTCGCGTAGGGCGGGCAGGTTTTTTTTCGTGCATTCTCATGGGTATCCGTGACACTGGCGTACTTGTCCCACGTGGGAGCATATCCATGGTGACGTAACCGATTAGTGTGCTCGTAGTAGTGGGCAGGGCGTGTCTAGTGCTACGCGGGCAGAACGCAAGCGCACAGACAGTCGCGGTCTTTGATTCATAGAATGCGCTGCAAGATATATATGTTACACGGTCTGAATGCGTTCGCAATCTTTTATTTGCTGAACGAGTTCTATGCAAGTTTATATTCTATGTATGATCGCTAGTTTGCTTTAGAAAAATCGCGCTTGGAAATGAGCAAAAACTGCTGGCCGTAAAACGCCCCGTATCAGAATTTCTCCCTTCATCCTTTACGTGAGTCATGGGTGCGCACGGAAAAGTGCCATGACCGTAAATTATCAACCCAATGTAACTCCAATAAGCCTTCTATGAGCTCCTTGGTATTACGTTACATTAAAAACACCATTGAAGAAATACATAACATAATGTCCGTTGAACTAGCATGAATTGCTTTCGTATATTTGTTAATCTTCCCCAGTATAATAGAAATTTTTGAAGTACGCCAAATAAATCTGGCTAACATATGCGCGAAATTTTTCTTTGGAAGTATTCTATAATTTTGCTCGTTCCCACAGACATGGGTAATGTGGTAAATGTCAAGAAACTGTGGTATATACAGCAAGTGATTAGGTAGGGATGAATCAGGGTGTCGTGTCTATCAAATCACCAGGAAGTTTTATTCTATAAAGCCCGGCGCACACGTGAGTATTGTACTCAAGTAAAATGACGCATGAGTCATTTTACTCACGTGTGCGGTGGATTTTCGTTGAGTAATTTGACGCATGCGTCATTTTTTACTCAATATCAAACGTGTTTGATAATTTTAGACTCATGCGTCATTTTACATAACGTGTGCGCGCGCGCTTAGTAAATTTACTCAACACTGGTACTCACAGCGCATGCGTTTAAATCATTGTGCGCCCAGTATTGGCTGCGCACAGTCACGTGATCTGCATTACCACTTATTCCTTGAGTAATTTTACTCACGTATGCGGCGAACGCGGAAAATTATTACGCGTTAGTATTTTGACTCATGCGTCATTTTACTTGAGTAAAATTACTCACGTGTGCGCCGGGCTTAACCAATGAAGCGTATGAACAATTTATCACTAGCAAATGCATGCATGTAGGCCTAAATTCGTTTTCTATATAAAACACGTCGTACATTCTTGAAGCATCTCGGCATTACTGAATTTCCCTTTACTCAACTTCGTCAACATTTTTAATACATGAGAGATGGTAACGGTGTGCAGATCAATGCGATGGCTTTTCCAGCAAAATGCTGCGTGGTGTCAATTGGTGTTAAGTCTGATCTTAATGGAATGGAATGTAAATGCACTTCCCAAATATCTTTATTCAATAGGTTTACATTCCAAAAGAGCTAATCATCCACAAGAATGACTACAATGAAATTTTACAATACAATTTTGACAATCAGGAAGCGCGAATAATATCGAAATCTATTCATTTTTAATCCCACGTAGACTGCTGTACGGTGACCCCCGAGGGTTACCCTACCCCCTTTATCCATAATGCTGGTACGGACGCACGATAAATACAATAAGTTGATCTCAAATCGTAGGTATAGCTGCGCTCTTGTGTGGTGTGTGAATACAACATATAGAACACGTGTAATCACTGTTACAATTTAATGATGTAAACTGTAGCCCTGCGGACTGCAAGACATCCAAGATGTCGGAAAATCCT